TATATATATATATATATATATATATATATATATATATATATATATATATATATATATATATATATATATATTTAAAAAAGACTTTCATATAGTGTATGAGGGAAAATTTCTAGTTTAACATTTTCCTTGGCACAGAGTTTTTCTGTCTAGGACAAAACATACAGTTCATTCAGAGGAAGTAATTGTTTTACTTGATTCTGCTTTGATTGGGCTCCTTCACAAGTACTGTGCTCCTTTTTGGGTATCATGCTTTAACAAGAATTTTAAAAAATAGAAGATTCAGATGAGGGCAGAAAGGATTATCAGGATACTTGAGTCCAGAGGTGCCTGCAGGGAATGGGAGAAGCAAGATGCAGACGCTGTCACAAACATGCTATGATGTGCTGGTATTTATTTATTAACTGTATATGCTGCCCATCTTGCTATCCAAAGTGACTTTATGTAAATCCATAACCACCAGCTCTGCTAGTTCCACGGCTGCCACCATGCCATGCTGCTGGTTGCCATACAGCTGATTGGCACAATAGCCATGCCTTTTAATCATGTTTTAATCTGTAGTCTTGGTATTTTGTATTTTTATCTGGTTGTTAGCCGCCCTGAGTCCGCAAGGAGAAGGGCGGGATATAAATATAAACAATAAAATAAATAAATAAATAAATATAAATGGCAGCTCAGCTCTGCTCTCATCTATCTTGCAGAATTCCAGAATACTTAACAATCAGTTCTCATAAGTAAGTACAACCTGCTCCAGACACTATTGTATCGTCATTGTCCTCATCATCTTATCCTATTTTTCTTTTAATACTTGGTCAACTCAAGGCAGCAAACATACCTTATTGAATAAACATAATACAATACAAATACTTTGACTTGCTTTAGCTTTTTGCCATTTATACATAACTTGGATTTGCTCTTTTTTCCTTCAAATACAGCCACCTTCATCTTCAGTATATTAATTTTCAGATCTGTGGTCCTTCCTGTGACATATTTTATGACTGACATTTGCTGCAAATCATTTGAGCTGTCAGCCAAAATGATGACTTCATCTGTGTACAAAAATGCACACCCATTCCTCTCACCAACAAAGTTTATACAACCTTGTCTTACTCCCTGCTCAAAGTCAAATGCTCCAAAAGATCATATTTTATAAATAGGTTCAGGGTCTTGTCCTTGTAGTGTTAGTCTGTCTGCACCCATACACATAGGTATTCTACATTAGCTGCAACTGGCTCTCTTTCCTGACTTTAATGTAAACCATTCACAAGCAACTGCTTATGAATTGGAGATTATCTGTGGTATTTGTCGTCCCTCCTTACTACAAGGAATACTGATTCAATGGGCATTCTAACATTTGTGGCCTGCCTCCTTGACAGAGAACAACAGTTTTTAAAAGCCATTTCCTAGGCCTAGAACAGCTGTTATGTGGTTTTTCTTTTTCTTTTTCTCTTCTTCTCCACTCCTTAACCCACTAATCACCCTTTTTGCTGACCTGAATGAAGGCAATTATACATCCTGGTTATTGTAAATAGACCACAAAACACCAGGCATATCTTAAAATGATGTCATGTCTAGACATACCATTCAGGTATAAATTATTGAAAAAGTAGCTTGTTTAGCGGTTAAGACTATAAAAATTAACAAGATAGTTTTGCATCTGTCTTGTAAGCAGACTTTTATATGCAGGTTTGTACTTGAAAGAATTTTCAGTGACCTGATTTGGGAGGAAGAGTTGGTTTTGAGAACTGGAATTCTCCTGTCTCCTCTCTCTGCAGCTGTTTCATTTCATAATTAGTGCAGTGTTTTTCAAATAGAGATGAGGGAGTATGAGAAACTCATACAGGTAGTCCTTAACTTAAGCCATTCATTTAGTGACTGTTCAGAGTTACAGGGGCAGTGAAAATGTGACTTACAGCCAGTCCTTGCACTTATGATGACAGCATCCCCAGGTTACATGATCAAAACTGGGCTGCTTGATATCTGGCATATATTTACAATGGTTGCAGCATCCTGGAGTCATAATTTATCATCATTTATGACCTCAGCTGGCTTATGGCAAGCTAAGTCAATGGAAAAGCTGGATTTGCTTGAAGATCGTATTATCCACTTAACAACTGCAATGATTCCCTTAACAACCATGGCAAAAAAAGGTTGTAAAATTGGGTATGACTTACTTAACAACTGCTTAGCTTAACAACATAAATTCTAGCCTCAGTTGTGGTCGTAAGTTGAGGACTACTTGTATGCCTTCGCAGAGTTTTAATTGATGTTGATAAAAAAAAGCATGAAAAATCAAAACATTGATTTTCCAAACGGGAATCAGTGGCAAGGGAGGATAGGAATATGATTCCCAGCTACTGATTTATTTTCCTCTGATAGGAGAAAGAAATAGGGGACATGCGTTCTCCAACTCAAACTGCAGAAGACTCTTGTCCTACTGGAGAACTTTTTAAGAGTAAGCTATGAGTCAGTCTGGATTCTTGGCCATTGCCTGGATTACAGTAGTCTCTGCAATTTTCTTGGCAACATTTTCAGAAGTGGCTTCCCAGAATAACAGAGTTGGAAGGGACCTTGGAGGTCTTCAAGTCCAACCCCTTGCTCAAGCAGAAAAACCTATACCGTTTCAGACAAATGGTTGTGCAATCTCTTCTTAAAAACCTCCAGTGTTGGAGGACCCACAGCTTCTGGAAGGAAGCCATTCCATTGATTAATTATTAGCTATAATAATAGAATCTTGCAAGTCTGATTGGATTGTATTTCCTCACCCTTCATATATTCCATTGAATTAGAGAGGTTTCTGCCTGTTTCACTTCTGGACTTTCAAAATGCTTCAGCAGCTTTTATTTAGGTTAGGGTTCTTGTATATTTCTATATGGAGAGTTAGAGTTAGTTTGGTGTAGTGATTAAGGCACCAGAGTAGAAATCAGGAGACTGTGAGTTCTACTCCTGCCTTTGGAACAAAGCCAGCAAGGTGACCTTGACCTAGTCACTTTGTCTCAGCCCTAAGAAGGAGGCAATGGCAAACCACTTCTGAAAAACCTTGCTAGGAAAACTGCTAGGACTTGTCCAAGCAGTCTCCGATTGAATAGAAGAAAAAAACATTCTGTCAAGGTTATTTTCCTAATTTTCTACACCAAAAGCCTGGACAATCTTGAGATTTACTCATATAACACCTCTGCTCCAAGATTTGGACTCTGCCAGTTAGTTTCTGTATACAATTTAAAGTACTGGTGATCACTTTGTAAAATCTGTATGGTTCAGGGCATGTCAGCCCTTCAAGGTAGTCCAGAACAGGAAACCAAAACCAAGAATACCACTGTATCTTTATTGTAAGGTTAAAATAATAGAATCTTGCACCACCTCCTGTGGTTTTATTTACCAGAAAACTAGAGAGGGTTTCTTCTGAGATTTTTTCTCCATCCCCTTCCCTGCTTTGGAATCAGACCATTGTCTAGGCCAGGGGTAGGCAACTTTGGCTCTTTTATGACTCTTGCTGGCTCAGGAATTCTGGGAGTTGAAGTCCACGAGTCATAAAAGAGCCAAGGTTGCCTACCCCTGGTCTTCTAGGCTGTAGCTCTTCCTCCTTTCACTCAAGGTTGTTCTCACAGCCCATTATAAGGCCTGGCTATTTTCATATCACGTTTCAAAGTGAACGTGCATGCCACGTATGATCTTGGAAACTTACTCTGCTGCGGCTCCCATTTGAAGAAATTCTCTCTATAGGAGATTAAGAGCAAGGCCTTTTCAATGGTAGCACCCATCTGGTAGAATAACTTGCTATCA